ATAACTAGATGCAGCCTCAGATGGTGGTTCCCAGTCCACACAGAGGTTTTCAACATCCCCTCTATCCCAGGTGGAAATTTCTGCTTCTTCACTGCCACCCACCATCAACCTGCCTGAACTGGAAATATGGCTGGCCCTACTTCCACAGCAACAAAATTATCACAGTGAAGGGCTTGTCATGACTGGAAAGGAGTCCATGGAGGGATAACATTTTCAGGTGCATGCAGAGAGCACTAAGTGTTTGCAGGTCTGGGGAAACAATGATGTAATGACAAAACAATGAAATGTAGTGATGTAACAGCCATAATGGCGAGTGTCAAATGCCAAGCAGAGACATGAAGTAAGACTGAGCAGCTCCTCTGCAGACGTTTAAGTGGAAGTAACTTGTTGCTAAAGTCCAGCTCCTCATGTAAGATCCAGACACATTGTCATCCCCCGTACTCAGAGGAGGACATAGTCCATGGTCCCCCTGCCACAAGTGGCTCACTGTGACTTGTGTTCCTTGAGTAAACAAACATCCACCCATGGTAGCCCAAAGGAATAAATATTATTTTGTGTGGTTAATTAAGCAAAAATGTTGAAAATAATGTGACGGCAGTGTGCAACAAGATTTTTATACAACATGAGACTGAGAGTATGCTTCCCAAGCAGCAATCCTTTCAGAGGTCCCCAGTGTCACAGCACATCTTTGTGCTGTGGCCTGTGAGCTGGCCCATGACCCAGTACGTCTAAATCAGTGTGACTGCTAAGACCTGAGATGGGGCGAGTTTCTTGTTTTTCATGAGAAGGTGAAAACAGGTGCCAAAGTTTTTGAGAAATGACATTTCTAAAAGGTAGTTCCTAACCCTTGGACATTTATTAAAGCCCAAAATAATACTCATTTGTATTAAACAAAATTGAAATGGATATATGTGTGGTGAAAGCATGTGACTGACAGGTTCTGCTTAAAGGAGACTTCACTGAAAGAACCTTGACCTTATCAATTCACTTCCCTCTCCTTGCCTTCATCCCAAGTAACCCCAGTGTGCCACCCTACACGCACACTGTAAATTATGGCTTTGATTTATTGACAGTCTCAGCAGCTCAAGGCAGCTGCAAACCCCATATACCTCTCCAGTTAAAGTGGTTTTATACCTCTGAAGACAGCAATGTGTACCACTATACCAAGCTTTGTCAATTTCACCAGGCTTTTTTGAGAGAACAAAAAGGATGCCATTGCTTTACTTCTTAACCTTTGGTTTCAAGAGCCTTTTGTCATTCTGAAACTGTGCCCAAATTCTTGTGGTTTAATGCAGAATTTATTACTCATCTTTATTGTTTGGGATCTGTTGTGCAGTTTATTAAAATCCACAGTTTGAAGCAGCCACGTGTGTATAAATGAAACCATGTAAATAAGCCAGCTTGTACCAGAGGAACATAATATTTAGGGCTTGTTCACAAGAGAAAATGTTCTAAGTGGGAATGTCAACTGGAAATGGAATGGCTAATGTACCTTCAGTGCTTGAATGGATGCTCCTATTCTGTGCTGAATTCTTCCTTGTGCCTGAGATTAGTTCTTTTGAAAGCCAATTAAAAGAAACCATAAAAAAGTCCTCAGGGGATACAAAGATTTTTTCCAGACTGACCTTGAGCTAGTGGGAGCATGAAATGGGCAGGGTGTGGAATAGCTGTACTGTTACAGCCCTTCCAGCTTGTCTCCTCCAGACCTACTGTTGGCACATGCTTCACTTCCCAAACATCCCTTTTCTGGTAGCTCTGCATGATCCTTTCTTGTGAAGCTGATTTTCTTCTTATGGATGAATGCACAGGCACCATCTGTGCCTTAAACATCCAGTCACCAAGAGCAGGGAGCTGGAAAGCAAGGACAAGTAAACCAGCGAGTATACATCCAGGTGAATCATCCAGGTGAAACAGATCATTCATGTTCAACTTTTAAAGAATTAATTCAGTCAGTTGCAATAATGCTAATGCAACTTTAGGCCAAGTCTTTTTGTTATTTTTATAACAAAAAAATAATAATTTTAGTATTGTTTGGTTTAGAGGACAAATTTGATCTTGACCAAATGTGACATGTGGGTGATATTCTTGGTCATATGTGATGATTCCTAAAATTCCCATTAAAACAGTGTATGTGAGTTGCACATGGAAGCTCTTTTAGGGACAATTTAAATATTACTGCCTTTGAATTTGGTCCCTGTGTCCTCATGGAATTTGCCATACTTATGCTGCAGAAACCAAATGTTGAGGGGGGACAAACCCTGTTCCTTTCATGAGGGAAACAGTAAATTTAGTCCCTGTAGAGATAAGAAAAGAGAAAATCAACTTTTGGACATTAACTTTTTCCATGCAGGAATGCCACAATATCATTTGGGGGATGTCCTACATCACCTGAACTGTGGTTACACAAAAAAGCAGTTTACAGCTGTCAGTGCTCCCTGCCACCAAAGTGTGCTATCTCTGTTGTTTTCAAACTGTATACAGGCCACTTCCCTGCAGCTGTAGGGGAAAGATGCCTCGAATGGTCACTCAGAAAAACTTATATGACTAGCAGTGCCTGCTACAGCTCTGCTGGTACAGCACTTTTGTGCTTGCTAAAGGAATGGCAAAGAAATACAGGAACTTCTGCTACGTGCTGAAGCCCATTTCCATTTTTTAAAGCCAGAAATCTGGATTTAGATGCCAGTCTTCAGAAGCTGGTAAGAACAAAATAAAGCAATTGGGGAATTGCTCCTCTTGTTTCAGGTGAGAAGTTGTAACAGACTTTGGCCCTTTACTTGAAAAAGTGTGCAAATTATGCTAAAATTTTCCTCTTTCTAGCGCTGCTGCCTCTGCTCCCATGCTTCCTCATGCAGCTGAACCATAAGGTACTAATGAAAAGCATTTTTTTACTCTGTCAATACCATTGTTTATTTTATCTCTGAAGCTCACACTAGGTCTTTGAATTAAATGAAAAAACAGCCTCGCTGTTATCAACACAGGGCAGAAGCAGACGGGAAACTTGTGGTATTGCTCTGACTAATGCTGTGTCTTCGTGCAGCTGGAGTGTGATGCTGGGAGGTGCTGGATGCCTTCAGCACCCCTTCAACGCATCCAAAAAAAGAAAACTAACTTCAAAGCATTCCTCATTTCCCCGGAGTTGTTCAATATCCCAGATTACTCAGCCATGGCTGGATAGTCTGGCTTCTGATGGTGACCTCTTCTTCCGTGCTTTCAGAGAGACAGACTCAGACCTTTTTAGCCAGTAGCTAAAAACACTGGAGGTTTCTGTCAGCTCAACTCAGGAACTTCCACACTGCAGAAGTTTGCATCTCACTCACTGGCTTCTCCTAGCCCAAGTTCAAGCATTTAGAACTTGTGCAGGAGAAACAGAAAGGGCAATACCACAGGCTCTCCACCAGCTTCTGCCCTGGGCAGATAAGAACAGCACTTTTCTAAAGTGGCCTGAGGCAATGCCATGACTCAGTTCAAAGTTACAGACAAAATAAGCCACAGTATTCCTAGAAAAAGAAAGATCTTTGTAAAAGCTCCAGAAGAACAAAAAGAACGAAGCACTTGAACAGAATAATAATCTAATATTATTATTATTACTGTGATTATTATTGTTTGGTACTGAGCCTGTACTCCACAGCCTTCCCCTAGGACTGGAGCTGTTATGCTGGGCACTGGATATGTGTGAAATGAAGTGACAGGCTATGCTTTTTAAAGGGCTCCCAGTTTAAGCAGTAGAGTGGGAAGAAGGGAAAGAGAGATAGAGAGATGTACCATTGAAATGCAGATGTTTTAGGACTCGTCTGTGAACCAGTAAGAACACTCCTGGCATCCACTGAACAAAGTAGGGCACAACATCCTCACACCATAGGAAATTCTTCTCTAGTCAATGTTTTTATTTCACATAAGCTAAATACAGCAACTGGGATTTCTGTTCCAAAATGCAAACAGGACTGAAGCTCCCAGATTATGCTAACTTTCCACAGGAGTCAGGCTCCTCTCTGTTTTTATCTAAACAGGGCTGCATTATCACCCCCTGCTTCGCTCCACTTTTGCTATCTTCACAGCACATCATCTCTTTCATTGTCTGAACATGGCTTCTCTTGGAGAGACAGCATCCATTTGGAGGGGAAGAGACAAACGCTGAAATAAACCCTAAAACCAACAACCAGAGAAACAGCAGTGCTTTGATTTTACCCAGACTCTAGCAGCATTTGCAGAAATCCCTGAGGAAATGGCTGAGTAGGCTTGAAACAGACAGAGCAGCCCAAGGAGAATGGACTTTGTCACCTTGTCTTGCCATTCCTGACAAGCCAAGGATGCATGCTCCAGGGGAAGACAAATTTTGCACAGCTGTGCACAGAGAAGGCAACCTCTAGCAGCTGGAAATACAGTGAAAGGACTTTTGCGGTCCTGCAGGATAAACTACACCTCAGGCTGCCTCATATCAGTGTCTCTCGGTGCTTAATTTATTCCCATTTTTCATCTGGCTATTGCCACATAGAAAGTTGGGTTTTGTTAGCATTTAGCCTGTGTTGACTATGTGGAGATTACAGCAACAAAAGACAATGAAAGATTACTCTTAGACCTATCACAAAAAATTATCTTTCTTCCTAAAATTAGTATTTCCCAGCCTATTTAGAACCCATAACACTTTTAATCCTCTAATGAAAAACAGTCCAAGATCACTCTTATGCCACTCCAGAAAAGAAATACGTAGTGTCATTTTGGTCATAGTTCATAAAATCCTTTGCCAAGGTGGCAGGGACCAAGGAGCAAGTCTGGAGATCATTACAAGGGGCCCAAGATCCAAACCCATGCTTTTCTGGCTACCAGGTGTCATAGGACAGTTGGAAGGAAACTAATTTGTTCTACCTGTGGCTGAGGTAATGTGTATAGCTACGATCACCTCAGCCACAGGTAGAACACAGGTAGATGTTTGCTTCTTCTTGGAGACTGGAAGTGTTTTTCAATATTGTTTTTAACCTCTTCTTTCTCTCATCCACCTTCAGGTATCTCCATGCCTGTACCTGTCTTTGGACTACAAGATGACTCCAAAGTATTTAAGAAAGACATTTTTAAGAAAGACATCTGCTTACTCGCAGATGAAAATTTTGTTCTAGTAGGTTCTTTTGTGGCATTCTTCATCCCTCTAACCATCATGGTAGTCACTTACTTTTTAACTATCAAGTCGCTGCAGAAGGAAGCTATGCTATGTGTGAATGACATTGGCCCAAAGACCAAGTTTACTTCATTCAGCTTCCTCCCTCAGAGTTCCCTGTCCTCAGAGAAACTCTTTCAGCGCTCCTTGAACAGAGATACAGGGACTTCAGGGAGGAGAACAATGCAATCCATCAGCAATGAGCAGAAGGCTTCCAAGGTCCTTGGCATTGTCTTCTTCCTGTTTGTTGTGATGTGGTGCCCATTTTTCATCACCAATGTGATGGCTGTTATTTGCAAGGAGTCATGCAAAGAAGAGGTCATTGGAGGGCTTCTTAACATATTTGTTTGGATTGGCTACCTTTCTTCGGCTGTCAACCCACTCGTGTACACGTTGTTCAACAAAACCTACCGCTCAGCTTTCTCTCGCTACATCCAGTGTCGCTACAAGGAGGAGAAGAAACCTTTCCAGCTGATTTTAGTGAACACTATTCCAGCACTTGCATACGACTCCAGCCAGCTCCAGCTAGCACAAATGAAGAGTTTGAAAAAAGAGGCGAAAATGATGGCTAAGGATTACTCGACGGTCACGATAGGAGCACATCGTTTAGATGGTACTTCCAAGGGAAGTATCGGCCCAGGGAACGAAAAGGTTAGTGGTGTGTGATGGTCAGCAGCTGCCATGACAACCACTGTGCGTGTGCTGAAAATTTCACCTGCTGTGAGAAGCTCTGATAGCTTAGGAAAATCAGCTGTGTCCAAGAGACCTTCCGACAACTTCATATACTCCTCCCATTATCCTGTGGATGAAAAGCAGGGTTGAAAGGGTATCAAATGTGCAATTTTTTTTCATACAGTACTTTGGCTGTTTTAAGCACAGGCTTTATTAAACTTATTTTTTTAATATTCTAAAGAATATATTTCTTAAAGAAAAAAAATGCAATTTCTGTATTATAATATGGGCTATGAAGAAACCTACGCATTTCTTTTCTCTTTGCCAATGAAAGCTAAGCTGTCCTTTGATGTTCTCGCAGAGTAGGCTCCAGCTAGTTTGTCTTGCTACAATTGAGTTTTGTTATCATTAACTGAATGAGCACTTTATGGAATTTTAAATAAAATGACGGTTCATTTGCAAATATATATTTAAAATAAATCTTAAAGTATTAAACAAAATCTATTAAAACTGCTATAGATTAATTATATGGACATTTTGTTAACTGTTTTTATGCCATTTTTTCTTCCTCAGTAACCATCCTGAAATGTCCCTGGGCTTTTCTGCCATTTGTTCTGTATTTCAAATAAGCAATCTTCAAAGGTAAATTATACTTGAATAATCCTCTGTTTCTACCCCCACTTGTAATTTTTATTTCAGGACTTGTAATTTATTTGCATTCAAAAATTTCATGTTCAGCTTAAAAATTGAAAATAATGTTTTCAAAATTACTTGTGTTAATTCCCTGCTCCCTCCCACTGCTGTTGACAGGGAGGGTAAGTGAGAGAACAGTGGAAAACCAGGCACAACATTGCTAAATAATTTCAGCATCAGTTCCAGATTCGTAACTCTGTACAATTCCAACAAAGTCTGGTTTAAGCAATGTCAGAGGAAGTTTAGCATGAGTAAAGCCTTCAGTAAAAGGTTGAAGCAGATCCTCTCTCATAATTTCTCTTTGGTTAAAAAAGGGCATTATGAAGAATGTTCTGGTTTTGGTTTAGGGCTTGTAAAGCCAGAATTATTAGAAAGCTGTTAGTTGATAAAAATCGTTTTCCCTTGTTTCACTGTATTGCTGTTAAGGCAGATTGCTCAGGAATGGTCAGAAGATTGCACTACTAGGACTCAGCCTTAATGAAATATGTATGGGCAAATGGGGCTTACTTGAAAAATAACAGGATCTGTAAACAACACTGATTTCACCTGCATAGATCCAAGGGCAGGATACATTGCATAAAGAACATAAAATACATTACTTGACAGACATGCTTAGTCATGAAACTCCTTTCTTTCAGGCATCATAGCCAACGTCACTGAGGCCAGTGGGACTTTGCTGAAGAGGAGAAATATAAATGCTGCATTCACATGCAAAGCTTAAATCCAATAATTTGATTCATTCCATGAATTTTGCAGCCATAGTCTCATGAGAACCAGGATGTATTCCAGTTTCTCTGGAAAAAACACTGCCCATCCAGAAGCAAAACCTCAATGCCTTCATCTGTCCTTCTATTGAAGTTGTTCAGTTTTTACAGAGCAATTAAATTTCTACTAAGTCAAAGAAGGAGAAAGACAGAGAGAAAATGAACTTTTTTCTAGCCTACCAGGTGGGAGCCTTTGGAAGAAGGCCTTTAGCTTAAGATACTGATTGATCTATGGCAGACAAGGGCTTAAAAGTTGGCTGGGTATTTGATTTCCAAGAAACTGATTTATTGTCATATAGATTGTATAACTAAATCTGCTAGTTTTACAAGTCCTTTCCTCTGACATGGGATAGGTAGGAGTCACTGTGCACTGACTGATCACACAGAAGCTCTGCATGCACATGATGACACTGGCTCACCCCACAGACCTCAGCCTCCATGTCTGGGACAAAGTGTCATGCTGTAGCCCCACTCACAGTGATGATGCCACGCATGTCATCTATCACCTTGCAGACATTCATGGGTTTCCCCCCAAAACTGGTCATTTAGGATGAACTGACAAATCAAGTGGAATAAATGCTGTGCTCACCAGATGCTTTATATGCTCTCTCTGTCTCTGGGTACATTTGATCACCGCAGCCAAACTGAACAGCTTCAGCAGAAGCAAAAATGAGCTTACTGCTTCTACCTCCCTATGCACACATCACTCTCCTACACAGCACTGTGTGAGGGGTGTCACACTGGCAAAGAAGGGATTCTAGGGGGAATCTGCTAAACGCAGCTGAATATGAGGACTACCATAGTAGTAGGTGGGAGCAGTGATTTCCACTATTTCCATTAAGTTTGATATTGACCCTAAATCTGGCACTTTGAGCTAAGGACAATGGCCATGTTGTATCCCACAGGCCAGATGTTTCCACTCCAAAACTGAGGTGATGGTTTTGAGGATTTGCCCTTGGAAACAGGTATCTCAGGGAATAAGCAGGCAGTAATAAAAGCAAAGGTGTTTTGTGAAAAGAGGCCTGAGGCTCCAGATCTGCCATGAAACCAGATTGCCTTCATAGGATGAATATTGACAGGGGACTGAAGGTCTCTAAACCTGCATTTGAGGGGAAAGGAAACAAAAAGGCTCCTACCAGTGGAGGGAATTGCCACCTTTTTTTGCCATTTATGCCTGACCTGATGCAAGTTTCTCTGGCATTGCAAAGGAAAGAAGTAAGTGGGACAGAAAGCTTGGGTCTCATCGCCCACTTGTGCCAGGGAGCAAAGCCCACCTGCATCCTGTATGATGTATATGGCACCCCGCACTTCTCCGGAGCTCAGTTCCTCCCAAGTCTCCTGAGGGTCTGGTTGCTGCTCTGCACAGTCTCCTTCACCAGCTCACAGCTGATAAACTGTTAGTGAACATTTCACATTCAGTGCTTGTGCTCTCCACTTACCGTCGGCGTTTTGCCCGCGTGGCAGAGCAGTTCAGCCCTCTGTTTCTCTTTCATTTCACCTTCTGTTCCTCGTTCACAATGTCCAATTGCTCAGGTTGCAAATACTGACAGGGAATGTTTCACTACAATCACAGAGGGTTTCAATTACTGGATTGAAGTTTCATTACAAGATGACTCTGAACAATCATTTTTTTCCCAGCTTATTAAAATAAAACCTATGTTTTGGACATAAGGGACTTGACAGCATTTAATTAATTGACAGCTGGAGAGAACATAACAGTTTTTGCTTAGAAGCAGGGAAAACTGATGCCTGATGTTTTGCTTCTGGAGTGCTCAGATAGATGGTTTTATTGAGTGATCAGCAGTTTTTGCCTAAGAAGCCTCTCAAGGCCAAGAATGCACAGCAGATAAAGACCACTCTATGGACATTTTTGACAGCTTAGAAAAGCCTGATTCTGCCACCCTGCATCAAAATATTAACAGATTTTTGTGCAGTTTGCCTTAGCGAGGATGACGGAGTCAGGATATGAATTTGTTCTAGCTGCCATGCCAAATCTGCTAGAGGTTGTTCATCAGTAGACAGCAATTAATGGACTCATTATACTGCAGACAGATGACAAAGTTCATCTGTTTTAAACTAGGATTTACAGCACTTGGCCCATGCTTGGAATGAACACCATGGTTTAATATGACCATCTTCAGAGCAACATTTCCAGCTTCCAAAAAACTGTGTTTTCATTATGCATCAGACTAGAATGGAACTTTTTGTAATTTTTCAGTTTAAAAGAAAAAGAGAAGACATTCATACAGACTGGTTCAGAGGTTAGGGCCTTCCCCTACCTCACAGGAAGAGCATGCTGAGTCAGTCGGTCATATCTGCATCCAAAAAAAACACTTCATCTGAAAAAACTTTTCAGCATCAATTTTTCAAGTAGATTTACATTTTATTACTGTTAAGACTGCATCTGAAAAATGTCCAAAGACATGAAGCTCACCATGTATCTCCTAAGCTGGTGTGCATCCTTTTTACACTTCAGGGTAAAAATTCCTATGTATCTATTCCATCCAGTCAACCAAGCACTGTACTTCTGTAATTATTGCCAGATGGTGAGATGCATTCTATTTTGAATACCTGTATGTTTGCTTATGTAAATACATAGAGAAAAAAAAATTGCTGTATTTTGTAATGTTAATGTAAAATGGTGTTTCAATGCTTTACTGTTCTGTCTGATCGCACTGCTAGTAAAGCAGATTAAAATATTCAAATGACATCAGTTGTTTTATAAACTGGAAGTTTGTCTTAAGTAGCTAATTTGGTTTGGTTTTATTTCTCCCATAAATATTCAGTACAATGTCTGCTGAAGGCTAAAGCAATTTTAAATATTTTGCCGGACAAAAAGAAAGAGCATGTTGCATAATTTAACTATCTCAGTAAACCGGTCCAAAATGAGTCATTGTAATCATTCTCTTTTTCTAAGGACAGCCATCCTTCTACTGAAGAGGTACTCTTTGGGTAAGTACATACAGCTTAATAATTTTCAGTCTCAGAAACAGCGTATTTGCAATAGTAGAATTAAATTAATTTCACTAAGAAGTAGAACTAGAAGATTAATAAGCTGTATTGGTTTGCATGGCAAGGTTTCAGAAGAAGCTACTAAAGTGGGTTCTGTGAGATGCTTCCAGAAGTTTTGCCCATATCTGACAGATCCAATGCCAGCCAGCTCCAGGATGGATGAACCTCTGACCAAAGGCAAGCTCATCGGGACAGTAGATTGAGGAAGTGTGGAAAAGCTGCACAGTTGCAGCCAGAGAGAGGAGTGGGAATATGTGAGAGGAGCGGCTCTGCAGACACCAGGGTCAGGGGAGAAGGAGGGGCAGGAGGAGCTCTCGGCTGGAGCCGAGGTTCCCCGGCAGTCTGTGGTGCAGACCGTGGGGAGGCAGCTGTGCCCCCAGCCCGGGGAGGGCCATAGGGAGCGGGTACCCCCCTGCAACCCGCGGAGAACTCCACGCTGGAGCGGGTGGATGCCGGAGGAGGCGGTGAGCCCGTGGGGAGCCCGTGCTGGAGCAGGCTCCTGGCAGCGTCTGTGGGGAGGCAGTGGGGAGAGGAGCCCCTCCGGAGCAGGTTTGCTGGCAGGACTCGGGACCCACAGTGGAGCAGTTCGTGAAGAACTGCAGCCCGGGGGAAGGATGCGTGTTGGACAAGTTCATGGAGGACTGTCTCCAGAGGGAGAGAGTTCAAGCTGGGGCAGGGGAAGGGTGTGAGGAGTCCTGTCCCTGAGGAGGAAGGATCAGCAGAAACAACACGTAATGACTGACCACAGTTCCCATTCCCCATCCCTCTGTCCCACTGTGGGGGAAGAGGTATAGAAAATCCAGAGTGAAGTTAAGCCCAGGAAGAAGGGAGAAGGGTGGAGGGGTGAAGCTGTTTTAAGATTCAGCTTTTATATCTCATTAGACTACTCTGATTTGGCAATAAATTAAACTAATTTCCCTAAACCAAGTTTGTTTTACCAATGACAATAATTGGGGAATGATCTCTTCCTCTCCTTACCTCGACCCATGAACTTTTCCTTGTGTTTCCTCTGCTCTGCCTGTCTGAGGAGTTTGGTGGGCACCTGATGTCCGGCCCGGGTCAGCCCCACCGCCAGAGCAGCACAATCAGCGTGGCACCGCTACAGACAAATAACCCCCGGTCACAGAACCACAGTGCCATCTATTGTCGGTATTTTCTTTCACAAAGCGTTGAAAAAAAGAACCCCAAGTGGATTTTCGTAGTTTTCATTTTCCCTGTCTTAAAACCAAAATAAATGTATTCCTCCAGCTGATCTTAACAGCACCCAAGCTCTTGTTTGCAATGGCAACGTCACAATGGCACATTACAGCTGTTAATAACTAATCCTTTCAAAACCTTGCTCTAATCTTAAGGTTTCATTGAGCCTTATAATGTGTAGGAAAAAGCATATAAAGCTGTATTTTTCAGAAACGGTTAGACATAAGAAATCAGATTGTTTTAGCTGTGAATACGTGACATACCATGTATGGTGGTATGGTGAAATGTACCAGATAAGTTCCCTGAACTGCAAATCCCACTCAGTTTTACCTCAGAACTACTAGACCTCTGTATGTGGGCTACAGCGTATCATGATTTGTTATGTTCTTTGGAAAACTCTCTTCCAGATTTACCTGTTTCTACATAATTTGAACTGACAATTTCAATTTTTATTGAAAGAAAATACACTTAGTTTATCAATATGGCACTTCAAGACATAAAAGTAAAGATGTTTGGAAAAGAAGACAGTAAGTTCCATCTTCAGATGTATGAAGGTGGCCAGCATTGCATATGCATCAACATAGTTCCTTATCAAAGGCTCAAAAAACCCCAGAAGTTAAGACAGTTTCTTGTCAGTATCATCAGTTGTCACCATGGAGGCAGGACACCTGCTATTCTATAAATATTTCTGCAAGTGCATTTGCAATTGACATTAAAAAATCTCAGGGAGTTTATTTTCAAATTCTTAGGTCACAATTCATTGACAATACAAATATTAGCATTTTGTGAGTTCACTTTTACTCTCTGTGTTATACGATAAGTTTTCTGTAGCAGTAGAAGAGATTGGGAGTCTCAGAAACCTTAAACACTTCTTCACAGATCTCAGGAACCCAGAAGTAAAAGTTATATTTCTGCAATCATAAAACTGCCTTTCTTATGTTTTGTAAAGCCTCTGCTGCTGAATAATTTGAAATGACAAAGCTGTTTGGGTGATCCATGTTTCTTTGCAGAAAAAGAAAAAAGCATGCAAGCTGAAAAACTTATTTTTTCACAGAGTCATTTAGACCGGGAACTGCTGGTGACTGCTAGTTAAAAGTCTAGGCCTAAGCCAGTTGAGCCAGCTCTTAGAGGCAATAAAGAGAGGCAGCCTAAAATTAGTATTATTAGCAAGTGGAAAGAATTACCCCTTGGAATTGTCTACTGAATAAAATCCCAGCCTTCAAATCCCACAAGTATAAAATATCTCCATTCCTAACTAACAGCAGATATGCTGGCCACGTAACTTTGCTTTTCAAAACTAAATACTTGGGGCTTATGTGGCTAAGGCTATGCCTGGAGATAGGAATAGGGAATCTTTTTCTCCCTGTAAGGGGACTATTAACAGTCACATGGGGGATCCTTGAGGGAAAACAGCTTCTTTGCTGAATGGATTTTTTGAGGAACAACCACCTGGGAGAAGGTAAAAAGATTGAACTGTGCCGTCTTCTGATCTGCCAGATGAAGAAGCCAGTGGCTGATGAAAGAGGAACACACTGTGACATATTAAGTGAGGGTTCACCTTATAGATCTACACCTAAGGATAGAAATGGGGAAAGAAGTGTGTTAAACAGATTATTGCCCTGACTGTCAGATTACATTCACTTTTATTTATTCTTACAGCTGTTTCCAGGAAAAGACAACTGTTGCGGGGGACTTATTTGCTGAGGAGCAACTGAGGTACAGTGAGAAAAAATCAGCAAAAGAAACTACTCAGTACTCTAGGAACAGAACCCAGAACCTAAAAGACGTGGATGAAAGTCCCCTTAGATCTTTCCCAAAGATCTATTTTCCTTCTCTCTTTACCTTTGTTATGCAAGGAGTAAAATAAACTGGCTTATTTTTACCTACATATCTCAGATTGCACTCCACCTCATCCCCAGGTCATTAATAAAGTCACAAAACAGTCCTATCCCTCATATTGATCCCTGAGGAGTGTCACTCTGACAGGTGGACTCTGGACTGCTGACCAATGCTTCCTGAGCCCAGCAATGAAGCCAATTTCCCACCCACCTTATTATCCACTCATATTATCGAGCTCATATTTCTCCAACCTTGTTAAAGGAGACAAGGAGACTATTAGACTCTTTCAAAGCCCTTGCTAACATATACAGCTTCCACTGCTCCTGCTTTGTCCATTGAAGCAGAATTTTCTTCAGAAGGTAATTAGACTGGTGTGCTGTGCTCTCAGTAAATCCACGCTGGCTATTCCTACCCACCTTCTTGTTATTTGTATGCCTGGAAATGGCTCAGGAGGATCTATCCTGTGACTTTCCTGGGAGTGGTAGTAAGGTTGACCTCTCCTTAATTTTCGTGATCTTTTAGACACAATTTAGACACTTTTAGACATTAATTATAAGTAAATAATCCCTATATTAGAGACTGAAAATGTGTTCCCTTCAAGGCTTATTCTTTTTTTAAACTTTCAGAAGAGTATTCTTAAAATTCAGATCAATCAATTTTTTTGCCAATTGTCTTTGGGCAATATAAGCATCAACTTTTTCATCTTAAATGATGTTTGGAATCTTCTGACCCTTTCATTGCCTGTACTTCCTCTAGAAGTCATATATATTATTGAAAAAATATTCTTTCTGCTGGGGATAATGCTGGTTGTTCCAAAAGCCATGTAGGTGTGTTACCCACATGGTACTCATGGTACTCATCTTTGACAGCAATAAATTACTGCCTTTTCCTCAGCTTTTCTAGAAGCCATGCTCTTTAAAGCAATCTTTAATTGTAATTTTGCACGACTCTGTCTTGCCTCATTATAGATAATAGATTTAAATAATCCTCACAGGAAGAATATATCATACACATGGAAGTTCCTTATGCTGCTTTGACCCTAATTTTGATAAATGGCTTCAAGTCTGTGGCCTGAACTGTCCACTAAGACCAAGAAAGACAGTCTGCTGTACATGTATTACTTCAAGGCTCACGTAGGGATCAAGGCATGTCAGCTGGTGTTGCTGATCTTATTTCACAAGACCTAAAGAAAAGCCTGTCTCCCTTGGAAAGACAACCACAAGCCTAAACAAATGGCATTTATGCCTCCACCTCTCCTTGCAGCTCCCATTAATAAGACAAGCCCAAATGTTCTAATCTATTATTTATTGGCTTAAATTGAATTTAAATTTATCCTTTGGCATTTGCTAAATCAGATCTTCACTATTATATTCCTGTCAGCCAATATCTTTCCTTAGCTGCAATTATACATCAAAGTTTACTTGAATATCTGAATTCAAAATACCAGCCTCAAGGGCTCAGTAAATACATGAGAAATTTCAAACTGTATGTGGAAAAATTTCTCAAACAAGCAGACTCTTCATAGGTTCAAAATTAATCTGTGCTAGAAAGAAATAGAAAACAAAATACATAATATAATATGTGCAATGAATTTACTATGAAAAAACAAAACTTCATTTTTAATTTTAACACATTAAGAGGAAAATACTTTCTGTCAGAATT